GTTTGACTAGGATCAAAACTAAAATTGTATCGTTTTTAGGATGGGGTAGTATTCTTGATTAAAATTCGAGGAGTAATGTTTCCTGATTCTTAATTTAACCTTGGAGAAGTGAAGAAGAAGAAGAAGAAAATACTTTTAGAAAATGAAAACGTTCCGGGGTATACGATACCTATACATATTTCCGTATTGCAATTGCAGAGAGCGAGCCTGCCCAGGTCCTGCATGGAGTGGAGCTGTAGATTAGTTTTTTTTTTTTTGAGGAAATGGAGCTGTAGATTAGTAGCACTAATAAGATAGGAAAAAGTCTATTATACCTTGTATAAACTTGGGCCCATACAAAGATCCAGCCTATCTCTGTCGTTATAATGGGCTACCAAATCCACCAAAACTGGCAGAATATGGGCCGTTCAGCAGTAGTAATAGTACGAAATCTGGGTTATCCGGCCATGAGCCTCAAAGGCAAAACCTGTATGCTCCTCCTCGTTCACGTGGGAGGACACATGCCGCCGTCCTCGCCGGCGTGACATGCCATGCATGGACTGCCGCGCAACGGCCGCGATGCCCGCCGCGGCGGCCGCGGGCGCCACCTGCGCAGCCTCGTCAACTCTCTCGATCTCTCGCTGTCGCTGGCCCAGGGTGCTGCCCCTCTCCACTCTTCTCCAATCTCCACACGGCTTCTTCTGCTCTGGGCCGGGGCGTTCTTGGGAGTCTGCACGCTTGCCCTCTGTTTGTGGGTCACTTCCCTCGGAAGTCAAACTGAATTCTATATGCGCAGCCTCCAAGAACCGCCGATTCTGAGAGGTGAGAGGCCCAAGGGATTAGCAGGTCGATAAACAATGCGGCGCAGGCATCCAAGGGGTGGTTATAAGATTGGATTCCGAGTGATCCCATCTGGTCCAGAATTGTTCTAGATCTGACACATTCTGCCCAGAAACCTAATGCACTGTAGCAGGGCAGAGGATCTTCTTGTGCCGTCCTGCCCTCTTCGGTGCCACTTCTTGGACGCGGAAGGGGATTGAACGAAGATATTTCCATGTTGAGGTCAGCAACAAAGCTTACTCCTTGATCTTGTTTTGCTGCAGCTTTGCAATTTTTCGCATATGTTGATGTCGAAGTAGCCAAGAAGTGTGCACGTTTTACTATCAGCTTTGATAGGTACTCTCTGCCGTAGCAAGAATTTCGTGTCAAAACTTGCAAATAAATGCAGTGTGTGTGTTCTTGTGTTTTCCAAATGCAGGTTGCCAAATCTCTGAATAAGGAGTAGCAGATAGCTAAAAGAGTACCTCCATCAAAATCCGAGATACGTATCAGTTTGTTCTCTCGCAGCAATGATGTCGGCAATACTGCGGCTCGTAGTCGCGTTCTTGCTGCCGTTCCTTGCCATCGCCTCCGCATTTGATCCCTTCCACCAGAACATGCCGCAAATGGATCCAAAGATGGCGATGGGAGGTGGTCAGCCTCCCTTCATCCCGCACGAGTACGTCCGCTCCGCCGACGTCAAGCGGCAATGCCGGCCGGTGCTCTCCTCCGCCACCGAGCTCACGTTCGACGCCAACCGCGCCAACGCGCTCATGCCGGAGCTGACGTTCGTCAAGGGGGACTGGAAGCAGGACGACGGCGGCGTGCCGCTGCTGCCGTTCGACGGCACCGACGTGTCGGGCGACAACGCGGCGACGGACCCGCTGCAGCTGGCCTCGTTCATGCTCACGCACGTCGACGTGGGGCGCCGAGGGAAGACGGCCCTCAACGTCAGCGGCGTGCTTGGCGTCGCCGTCTCCCGCAACGGCACGGGCCCGGTGATGGGGCCCTACGTGTCGCCCGAGCTCAAGGTGTGGCCCGGGAGCACCGAGCTTAAGATCCTCTTCGAGGGCGTGTACACCGAGAACGGCGACGGCGAGAGCGTGCTCTGCATGGTCGGCAACGCCCTGCTCCCGAGGCGCGGCAGCGACGCCGGCAACCCGTGGGACTGGGCCAAGAACACCGGCCGCGACAGCTTCCAGCCGCCGGTCACCAAGGACGAAAACATACTGCTCGTGCTCCGGTACCCGACGACGCTGACGCTGACGACGCGCGCCGTGCGCGGCGAGCTGACGAGCACGAACGCCAAGTCGGACGTCGCGTACTTCGACGCCGTGCACATGCTGTCGCAGCTGGGCGCCTACTCCAACTACAAGTTCGGCTCCGAGAAGCTCGTGGACAAAGCGTGCAGCGCGCACCCTTACCGCGACGACATCCTCGGCGGCGGCCGGGGCCTGTACAAGGGCAACTCCTTCTGCGGCATCCTCGACCGGTTCACGTCGGAGGACGTGCTCGCCGTCGTCCCGAACTGGCGGTGCAACTCCACGGACGCGGTCTGCCGAAGGCTCGGGCCGTTGGAGACGGACAAGGCGATCAACGCGACGGATGGTGCCTTCACGGACGTGAGCATCGTGATGCAGGACGTCCGGTGCGAGCCGAGGAACGCCCCGAGCGGCGAGAGCTCGGCGAGGGTGTCGGCCGTGTTCCGCGCCGTGCCCCCGTGGGAGCACAAGTACTCGGCGGGCAAGCGGAGCGGGCTCAGCGGCATGACCCTCTCGGCCGAGGGAGTGTGGCGCGCGTCCACGGGGCAGCTCTGCATGGTGGGCTGCCTCGGCGTCGGCGCCAAGGCATGCCACTCCCGCGTGTGCCTGTACGTGCAGTCCACCTTCACGGCCACGCGCCGCAGCCTCACGGTGGGGCAGATCACCCGCGTCGACGGCAGCGGCGGCGTCGCCCACTTCCCTCTCACTATCAAACGCACCGTGCACCCGACGGAGCTCTGGAACCGGTTCGGCGTCTCCGGCGGCGCGCTGCTGAGCATGGCGTACAACTACACGAAGGTGAGGCAGGCCAGCGAGTTCCTCAGGCGCAGCGAGCCGTTCCAATTAGGGGCCGCCCTCGCCAAGTCGCTCCTGAGCTACCCGAAGAAAGACGACAGCCTCACCGACGACGCGATGGGCCTGTCCAACCTCGCTGGCGACCTCACCCTCCATGTCCCGGCCGTGCCGGACCCGTTCCCTCGTGAACGGTTCGAGCGGCCGTTCTTTCAGCTGGAGGTGCTCTCGCTCGGACCACTCGTCGGCCGTACATCGCTGGCGGCGAAGGCTGTGGACTTTTCCGGAATGCCCGGCGAGCTCGGAGGGGGTAAAGCATCTTCTTGGACGTCGTCGCAGCCAGAGTCCACGTCGCCGCAGCTAGCAGAGTCCTCTCTCCTCAACGTGTCCGTGGAGCTCTCGCTTTCCGGGAGCCCTTATGCGAACGTGTCGGGCATGTTCTTGGAAGGCGTGTACAATCCGGTGAATGGCCGGATGTACCTGATCGGCTGCCGAAGCATTCAGGCGACTCGGCAAGCCTTCCCGACGCTGAAAGAGGTCGAGGACGGCATGGACTGCTCGATCGAGATGAGGGTGGATTACCCGCCGACGACGGCGCGGTGGCTGATCAACCCCACGGTGAAGGTGCACATCGCCAGCACGCGCGACCCCGGCGACCCGCTGCACTTCAACGCGACGAAGCTCCAGACGCTGCCGATCATGTACCGGGAGCAGCGGCAGGACATCCTATCCCGGCGCAGCGTCGAGGGGATCCTCCGCATCGCGACGCTGGCGGCGGCCATCGCCGTGGAGCTGAGCCAACTGATGTACATCAAGGCGAACACGGACGTGATGCCGTACGTGTCGCTGGTGATGCTGGGCGTGCAGGCGGTCGGATACAGCGTGCCCCTGATCACCGGCGCCGAGGCCCTGTTCGCCCGCATCGCCGCGGGCTCCGACGACGTCGCCGTGCCGCCGTGGTACGAGGTGGACAAGAGCAGCCTGTACTGGACCATCGACTGCATCGTCAAGATCCTCATCCTCGCCGCGTTCCTGCTGACGCTCCGGCTGGCGCAGAAGGTAGCGCGGTCGCGCATCCGGCTGCTCACGCGGTCGCCGCTGGAGCCCGGCCGCGTGCCGAGCGACCGGAAGGTGCTCGTCTACAACCTCGGCGCGCACCTGGTGGGCTTCGCGGTGGTCCTGGCGGCGCACTACGTGAACGTGTACAGCCGGCCGGTGCGGGACGACGGGTCGTACATGGACGCACGCGGGAAGACGCACGCGCTGCGGGAGTGGGCGGTGACGCTGAAGGAGTACATCGGCATGGCGCAGGACTTCTTCCTGCTCCCGCAGGTGATCGGCAACGTGGTGTGGCGGATCAACTGCAGGCCGCTGAAGAAGAGCTACTACGTCGGCGTGACGGCGGTGCGGCTGCTGCCGCACCTGTACGACTACATCAAGGCGCCGGCCATCAACCCCTACTTCGCCGAGGAGTACGAGTTCGTGAACACGAGCCTGGACTTCTACTCCCGGTTCGGCGACGTGGCGATCCCGCTCGTGGCCGTCGCTCTGGGCGGCGCCGTGTACGTGCAGCAGCGGTGGAACTACAAAATCATCAGCAAGACCGTGAAGACGCAGCAGAAGAAGCTGCAGCACCTCGGGTCCAGGGTGTACGAGCGGCTGCCGTCCATGTCGTCGGGGAACTTCGAGGCCGAGCTTGTCTCCGGCGTCAACGAGGGCGTGGGCTTGCGGAGGGACACCAGCTTGAGCTGAACCATCGTCCGTTGATCAGCTAGCTAGCTCGTTTGCTTTACCCTTTTTTGTGTGTGTGATGCTCTTTGTTTTGTTTTTCGTTTCCTCCTTGTCTTCACAACAGAAAATGTGTGTACTAATATTAGTAGCTCAATAAAATCTCTCTTTTAATACTTATATAAAATTTTATTTGTTTATGTAGAAAGTTTTGGTCCACTGGCTATGCAGTGAACATGTAGTCATGCTCATACGAACTGCATGCCAAATCGGCATGGCATGTCTTATAGATTGTGAAGGACGCTGAGGTGATTTACAACGTCCTTCCAATATTCTTTGACAGTACAGCACGCTGGCTGGCTCACTAGTTAGTTAGAGACTTAGAGCAGGGGATGACAACTTTGGCACTGTGGTAGCTAGCTACATGTAGGCAAAGGAAAGAGTGAGCTCAAGTGACATTTCCACTGCCTCCTCCCGCTGGTGCTGCTGCTGCTGCAGCAGCAGGAGGGTCGCCGCCTCCGTCGTTCCGCTGATGGAAGGAGACTTCTGGTGATCAGAGCTGCAGCTTGGGCCCGCCGCGCCATCGTCGACACCCTGCAAATTCAAATTCAAACATCAGATCAGTGATTCAATAGTGGTCTAATCAGATGCTTCCATGAACTGGAGCCTGGAACTGGACGCCGTCAAGACCGCCGACGTCAAGGGGCAGGAGGCCGAGGAGTGCTAGGAATCCAACAACGAGAACGAGAAGGAGCAGCTGATCCCCCTCTACGTCCTGGAAACACCCGTTCGGGAGCTCTCCCATCCATGACAAGCTGTCCCCGTGCAAGGACGCCATGGACATCTTCTGGGACCTCCTGGACGCAGCGTACAGCCCTGCGCTGCTCGCCAAGTCCGAGGACCTCCTCAAGGACACCGCGGCGGCCACCGAGGACGACTATATTACGGCAGCTACCGCACGAACCCCATGAACTGCCGAGGTGTCCAAGCTGGTCGCGTACTCGCATCCGAGGTCCTGACCTCGAAGCTAAACGCCGCCGCCGCCATGTCCGAATCCTGCCCTGCGCGGACGTCGTGGTGCCGAGAACGACGCCAAGCAATGCATTGGGGGAAGGGGGAACGAAGCAAATGAGGATGGGCGGCACTGACCTGGTGACGCTTGACGTTGCCGTCGTCGTCGACGTGGTAGCCGGCCTCGGCGCAGAGCGAACGGAGCACGTCGTTCTGGTCGGCGTGCTTCGGCAGCGCGTACCCAGCGTTGGCGCGCAGGCCAGCGTAGATCCTGGCGGCGACCTGGCGCCGCCTCCACTCGCGCTGCCGGTTGTTCTCCCGCTCCCGGGGCGTCGGGTGCCGCAGCGACGTCGTCAGCCTGCCGCCCCGGCCGCGGCGCCGCACCGTCCACGGCCCCTGCGTCGAGCGGATGCAGCCCTTCCTCTGGGCCACTGGCGCCACCGCCATTGCCGCCGCCTCGCCCTCCTCTCTCCCAGCTCCGGCCTGCCGCTCCATGGTCTCCGTCGTCTCCGATCGATCACACACACTGACACAAACCTACACTAGCACCAGTCGCAGCACGCTCACTCTCGCCCGGTCGCTCACTCAACTCACGACTGATCGGTCTCTCTCTCTCTCACTCACGAGTATTTATAGGCAGAGGAGGTTCATGCATGTGTGCCTGTGGACTGAAAAGCTTGCTGCTTCTTTCACATTGCGAAAAAACAAGTGCTCCTAGTTCATGAAGGAATGCTCTTGTTGCTGTGTGCATGTAAGTTTCTTGGCATCTCTCTCTCACTCACAATGTGTGCGTGTGTGTGGGGGTGAGTGTCTGAGTGAGAGAACGCCAGAACGGAGAAGGAATAATGTAGTTGGGAGCATGTAACATCTGTGCTGAGCACTCGGGCTGTTCCTGTACTCTACAAGAGGATGCCGGAGATGCTGCAGGCTATTTCCAGAAGAAGAGGAATATTTTCGCCGCAGTACATACAACCAATGGTTTCAAGTCCCTTTCTGCATCCTGCCTGCCTTTTCAGTCTTCAGCCATGAATGCCTTTGCGTCTCTTTTACTGACCGCCTCTATGTCTATGCACGCAGATGCTGGTGTACTGCCTAGGCTGCTTCAGAGTAGTGCCTAGAGATCAGAAGTCTATCCAGCAGTTGGAGAAAGTTAGTACAATGTTTTATGCATGGTAACGCATCAAATTGTGCATGAAGGCTCTAGCTTTCGGTGATCAAAACATAATGTTTTTTTCGTTCTCTGATGAGGAGATCAGAAAACTTGAATCAGTTCCTGATGGTTTTTCCGATTTCTGTAATTTCTTGGTTGTTCAGTATCCGTGCATTTGTTTCGAACGCTTCTGTTTTCCTGTTAGTTTTTACTCGCTTCGACTGAGTAAAATTTGATGGTCAAAACTCAAAACGGGAGCAATGCAAGGACCAATTAAGGAGCATCATATTTTGATGAGTCATGAGATATCTGCCTTAGAATCCCAAAATTCTCGTGTAGGCGTACGTGCGTTTGGGGTCAAGGTTCAGTCAGGTGTGCCACACCGCGCTGCTCCTGCAGCCACTGGTCCTCTTTTGACTAGGGTATTCATGCTCATCGGCTCATCGGTTGTGTATGTGCATGCAGGATTAATAACACCACATACCACATGTTAACCATGCCGTGCTTCAGAGTTCAGAGATGCGTGCAGCTGCATTTTTACTGAAGGAAGAGAGGCCCGTAAAGAATTTTTGAAAGCTGCGTATGTACAGGTAGGTACAAACAAATGAGCAAATCAAAAAGGGAAATGAAAGTAAGTTACCATGGCATGCTTGAGAATTCAGAGATATGCGGCTGCATTTTTACTGGGAACAAAAACTTTCTGAGCTTCCTGTATTAGGAATTTAGGACACGATTTACTGTTTGGACAGGCAGTAAGTTTTGTGATACCGCTGTGCATGCGAAGTTCACCGGAAATAAACTTTTCTTCATGTCATGATAGATCATAGCATATGCTAAAATACCATGGGCATCTTTATCCAGCTGTCATTTGCAGAAAACATCCCTTAACTCCTCAGAGCCTCTTATAAGTGCATAAATAATGCAGGTAATCTCGGGGCTCTCTCTACCAACTAACTAATTAAGCTTGCTCAGACTTCTAAATGAAAGATTAATGTGCTGCACTTTACATGCTCAAACCAATATGTCTCTAATGCAATGCAAGAGATTGCATATAAATAGTAGAAACGAAACCACCATCTGTTCACCCAAAAAATCACATCATTTCATATCAGAATTTAGAACCATCCTGGTATGGGAGAAGCAAGGCACTTGTGACTGTGAGTAGCAACTAAACGAGCAGGTGGAGACAAAAAGGTCCAGCACTCAAGGAAGAAAAAGATGGTGAAAAGTGAAACAAAAAAGGCACAGAAGAAGAGACTAGAAGAGCTCATGCTGCGCCATCATGTTCATCTCAAACGTTCAGTTCAGAGACACACAAAGGCAGCCCTGATTCCTGGGATGAGACACGGGAATATTGACGCGCTGTGCCAGGTGAATGGAATTGTTACTGTACTTCTGCACACACACAACAGACAAGGATTGGCTCCTCCCATTCTCTTCAGGAGTCCTCATGGATGTTCCATCCGTCATATCGGTGAACGAGAATACTGACCGGGCTGCTGACTGCTGTGGAGTTGTGTGGTGCCAGTGTGCCACTCTCTCCGCCAGTGTCGCCGGCCAATCTTTCCGGTCTGTGATGATTGCATGCGCGCGGGATATGTGCTGTGCGGCAGTGGAAAGAACTGACGCCCAAAGCAGAGAGCCTTTCCGGCGCTCTGCTGCTCTCCCTTGGAATGGCGCGAAAGGCACCAACCTTGGTGTCGTCTTCCAGTTCCACCGGGAAAAGGGGCCGGCGGCGGGCGTCGTGCGTCGTCTGAGCTGCGTTGCAGGATTTGAAATGACTCCGCCGCTTCCTTCTCCGGGAGACACTGCATTGCCCCAGGGACGCTGCCGTGCACGTGGCGGAAGACCGTAGACGTTGCAAGGAGCTTCGTTGCCGATGACGCAGCTCAGTTGTCATCAAACTGTACAAGCAAGAGGCGTCGATCAGCCCGGTGAATCGAGCCATCGAGGTAGGAAAGAGTGTCGTCAAGCTCTTCGTTCCTCGGTCCGCTCGAACGAAGTGTAGTCGCCTCGTGCTTGCCGGCGGCGAAACCACATTCCGACACCCGTGGATGTGGCCTGGACTGTGGTATGTGCCTGATCGAGCATGAGCGTGGAGATGGTGGTGTGTGTTCGAGGCCGCCGTGATGATCGAGCGAGCCCGTGGATGTCGATGGACCATGGCGAAGGCCGACTGAATCCATCGGTTTCGCCATCGGTACAGCAGTCGTCGACACCGTCGTGTTTCTGACGACGTTTTTTTTTTCAACCAGACGAATGGATTGGGAATTCTGGGAGCCCTTTTTTCATCTCGGGAATTTTAGCTTCCATTAACACCACCCAGGTCCCAGGACACCGGAGACTAGTTCAGCTACAAAATTCGGTGCTTGGCCCATGAACGCATGAGAGCCAGAAGTAAGAACACACGTACCATAAGGCATAAGCAGATATGCGATCGGTCACCTTGTTACAGGTCTTAGAGTATAACATACAGAGATGGTACCATAACTTATCGGATTAAACAAAGCCCCATACCACACGGCAATGCAGAGCTAGTGGCTACAATCCACCATTCCACCACCTCTGTTGATTTGGACGCGCCGACCAGCAGAAATGCGTCCATTTCCAAAATGATCGTCGTCATTGAAGTGCAGGGGAGGGGACAGGCGACTCGGGGAATGAATACTCCTGCACAGCAGTACAACACCTCCCTTCAAGAAATTCACCTGCACTGTTTCGAACAATGAAGCCCAGCCTTCATATTGGCCCATCCCGACACCGAGACTCCGAGAGGTCGTGAGCTGATGATATAGACCGGGTCGTGCGGTCCATTGGCTGAATGGAGGAACAATTGGGCTACGTACTGGCGTCGCGGCGGGTCTATCTTCATGGGCTGTTGCTGGGCCGTGCTTCCCGTGACCCGCGACACCAGGCAGATGAGAGCGAGTACATCCACTCATCAAAAAAAAAAAAAAAAGATGAGGGCGAGTACAACTCTGCCTGGTGTTTTGTTTTGGGCAGCAGGAATGCAGGACGGCGAAGCATGATGAGAAAGAAACTCGTGACGTCGTACTGTTTCGGCTCGGGCCTCACCCCGGTCCACGGTCCTCGTCGTCTCTGGTGAGCACAGTACATGCCTGCATCCCCCATCCTGCATGATACGGTGAGGTCCAACGAGCGAGCAGCCGAGCACCCATGACCCATCGTGCTCATGCTCGTGCAGTCGTGTTCAACCGAGCCAAACCAAACGCCCCACCTCCTAAACGCTGACACGTCGGATCCGTGCACTAATGATCTATCGCATTGGCAGGCCCCAGACAACATCCCAGGGCCACGTGCACATGCTTCTTCCTCTTCACTGTGGGCTTGGCCCGGGCTGTGCTGTAGCGCAGGCAACGCGGACCCTGGCCAGTGAATGGATTCTCACACGTGACTGTCTCCAACAAAAGTCTCAGGGTGTGTTTGTTTCCACCTCCTAAATTTCAGTCGTTGTCCCATCGAATATTTGACATATACATAGAGTATTAAATATAGACTATTTTACGAAACTAAATGCACAGTTTACGACTATTTTGCGAGACGAATCTTTTAAGCCTAATTAGTCCATAATTTGACAATATGGTGCTACAGTAACCCTGCGCTAATGACGGATTAATTAGGCTTAATAAATTCGTCTCGCGGATTACTGACGAATTCTGTAATTTATTTTTTTATTAGTATTCAAACACCCCATGAAATACCCCAATATGACATCTCCTAAATTTTAGTCACCGGATTCAAACACCCCATTATACGGTCACCTAAACACAAAATGGATAGCAAGACATCTAAAATCGACCTCTAACAGAATTTCTATATGGGAGACCCATTTTGAGTTGTCAGGCATAACCCAAATATAAGTATCCTCTCTCCTAAAACCCAAATATAAGTATCATCTCTCCCGAAAATTTATTTAAACCATTTGCCTATAGCGATACCAAAAGGTCGAATGAGTCTTATATTTTCAGTCTATTCGTTTGTTGGTTTTAGCCAGGACTTATGGTATAATATTTTTCTCTCACAACAAACCAGTACTGATCGAGATTATCAATCAAAACCCAACCAGTTCGCTGTTTATGTGTCGTCGTCGGAGATAGCATGACCCGTCTCTGCTTAGGCCCCGTTTAGATTCAAAAATTTTTGGAGTTTGGTTTACTGTAGTATTTTATTTGTATTTGTTAATTAGTGTCTAATTATAGACTAATTAGATTTAAAAGTTTCATCTCGTGATTTCTCATCCAACTGTGTAATTAGTTTTTTTTTCGTCTATATTTAG